TGAAGCGCCAGCCAGTAGAACGCGAACAGGCAGTCGCCTTTGCACGACGAATAGTCCGCCGGAATCTTGGCCGGATACGACTTGAACTGAGCAGCGCAGTTGTCATAGTGAAAGATACGGGTGTCGTCGATCCATGCCTCGCAAGGACCCTCATGTGAGGCGATGAAACCCTCCTTGTACTCGTCGTTCTGCCACCACATCTCGGTGTATCCCGAGACGTCTACGGGAGTTGCTGTTTTGAGAGAATGTCCGTAATCCGGGGCGATGGGATCAAGCATGTCACGAAGTGACTTGTAACCCGTGGCGTTCCAGTGGTCAGTGAATGCCTGAGCGTTCTGCGTTGGGCTCCAGTTGTAGTGTCCACCATCGAAGCCCTTGTTGATGCTGGCGGTTGTCAGTGCATTATAGGTTGTGTAGATGGTGTTGGGCTCGTATGTAGCCTTTGGTTTGGAGATGTATCCGTGACCTTGGACACAGGCCGTCAAAGACGCAAATGCGAGGATACAGGCCGGTGTCTTCATCCTTGAATACGGTGGAAAGTAAGTCTTGCCTTTTGATCGAGAAGAGAGATTGAAAACTGAATGGCACAGAGTTTGGTAGTCGCCCAGGACTTGGTAGTACTAGGGCGGCAAGTTGCGCCGCCTGCAACCACTGTTCGAACAGCTCGAAGCCTGATCAGACTCCATCGAGCATCAAGTAAGTTCCGATTCGGCAGCTGCAGGGTCAACAAATAGGTCGAGGCACACCTAGCGAAACACAAGAAAATGGCTGGGCTTCACATGCACGTACTGTAAAGGTCAACGTGGTGCCACCAGACGGATACGAAGACAACAGATGCCTAAACTGTAAGCTTGTGCAGCGATCGTTGCATCGTGGCGTGCCTCCCAGCCGTGGATCACTTAATCCAGCTGGAAATTTCTTCAAAACAACACACCATTTAAGCACTCAAGATTTGAAGTCTCATCTTACCGTAAATTTTACAGTAGATTCTTTTATTTTATTAAAATAAAAGAACATGTATTATTTATTATACATGTAATAAATGTATGCATATGAATATCCAACGGATACCGTACAGTCTTATTTTACAATACTCACACAAAAGCAGCACCATTGTGATATTCAGAAAAAAAAACTACATGTACATATTTCCTAGTCATGGTCAAATAAGAAGACGTGGTAGCCTGAGCCTCCCTCGATATTCGAGAAGATGATTCCGTTACTATTGTACTGTGTGGGGGCTTGGACCTTCATAGCGAGATTTCGCGTCAATGGTGCTGCCACTATGTCGTTTCCTACGGGGCCAACATCCCTAGTCCATGGGCAGTCAACGTTCGTTTGTCCAACAACGATCGGGCCTTGTGTGAACCGGGCCTTTGCGGATCTGAACTGGACTCGCGACGCGTGCAACAACGTCGATACGTTTACGGAGGCATTTCCATCAACAGGTTTTGCTTCTTTACGCCAGTTCGTCGAGAACGTATACCAGAACTCTCGTTCAACTGGATGTAGCAGTGGTACTGGTGCTTCAAAAGTTGTAATAGTTGGAGCGGAGGTGCAGAAGTTCTTCTGGAATGACGACGCGGCGGCTGAAGGAGGCTTCGAGCATGTAAGCCTTAGTTTCGCTTGGCAGGTTGGGTGAAGGCGGCATGACAAGGTCTTTGTGTCTTTGTAGGGTCCATGTGAGTTATGGATCGATGAAGGTGTCGTCTTTCAGGCGAACAATTGCGCCGTCGCGTTCCCATCCAGTCCAGCTACCTGTCCAGTAAACTACTCGAGCTGCAACGACAAGTGTGTTCTTCGCTTTTACGCCTTGTCTCTAGCTGGTACTGCCTGGCAAGCATTCAGTACGTTGAACTCCCTGCCTCTCCTTGCTAGCAGAGTCTGATGCGTCGAATGTATCGCTCTAGAATATGTCACGGAGATTCAGGTTGTACAGCCCAGAAGCGACAGCAGCGACTCCAGTGAGATTGCGTCGACTGAATCTCTGACTTCACGCGTGGTCTGGAGCTGGAGAATCGCCGAATCGAATGAACTTGCAGCTTCTGTGTCAGTCCACCTTCGAGGCTCTGCTCAGCTATCAGGAACTTTAGAGCTGTCTGTGGACACAAGCTTGCGCAGCACCGCAGCGACACCAGCACCAACTAATCCGTTGGCCATATAACCAGCGTCAAGACGAAAAAAAAAGAAGTAAAGAATCGAAGGAGATAGAAGACCAGAGTATGTAAGCACCATCAGAAGCTCCAGCATGTATCGTCCTTGAGGAAGAGAGATAGACCACGCGCCATTGTGACGTAGGTAACTCACACTAACCTACTTCCTTCAAGTATGAAGTGTCCCTGTTTATTCTTCTTCCCTTGCATATGGAGCCATCGCGC